GGACTTAGAAACTGAGATTGATGAAGATAGAGATGAGGAAGAATCTGATGTTGGAGAATTTGGTCATGAGTATTCAAAGCATTCGGATGATGATTTCGAGCCTCATTCGTTGCAACGTTCGATCATAAAAGGATTAGACGAGGACGATCTGTATCCTTTTAGAACCTTTAGTGACAAATTCTGATTTTCTGGTAGTTGCTTATCGCGATCTGCATCCTTTAAGCATGGATTTATTACATATTAATGTTTACTTATCGCTTGTTCTGAAACAAGGAATGTTAGCTGAGAATGTTTGTTTCTTGCTCGATGCTAGATTGTTTTTTTCCTTAATGTTTCTTAGTCTAGATGATTCACTAAATTTGAAGAATCTTGGGCTTTCAGATGCTTGTCTTGCAACTTTAGCTTCAAAAGGTGAAGCAGCAACATTTTTCTCTATTTGTTGATAAAGTTCTATGATTTGCTGTAATTGCTTAGGATGTACTGATGGTTTTCCTAAACTGATCATGTTCTTAATGTTTCTTACTTTTCCAACTGTTGTCAGTCAATGATAATGTGAACGATCCTGCCACATCTTTGGAAGAATCAGTGAAGTACGTTTGATGCGTTACGAAATAATAAATCTTTACGTGTTTTCTTGTAGTCGCTCATCGGAAAAAATTTCTATGATACAGGGGTAAACCATTTGACACAAGTGCATCATTTTTACCTGCTCCAAAGGCGTCAGAGCATCCCAATGGTTATTTCTAAGCCTTACTAGTGTGATGGATGTAATTGTTGGTGAATTCCATTGGTCTCCAACAGATAATGTTAAGAGTTTGTTACGTGCAGAAGATGAGTACGCAACACTAGATATGGATACAACTTCAGTGCATACAATAACGTTGATAAAAGAAGAATACGAGAGCCTCCCCTCTTACATGAAGTCTCTAGCATCGTGGGAGGTATGAAAATTATCCAAATTCTCGTTTAGATCAATCTATTGGCAACAAAATGTTAAGAATTGAACTGATATAATGAATTGGAGAACCAAGAAAATTTCATCCTTCCATAGTTCCAACTTCTAATAATTTATGATTTTGGATAAATTCCCTGCCATCAAATTCATTGCCTCTGCAAAACTGAAAATTGCTTCTCTCCTACAATTCTGGACTCGCTAGTTGTTTTCCGCTCTTTTAACTTTCAGTACCACTAATAGAAGGTTCAAGTTAGTTTGCAAGAGTTATGCGATCAATCATTTTTTTTTTTATTTCCTTCCAATCAATGTCTTGTACGTTTTTAATGTCGAAATCCTTCTTTATGTACGGGGAAGAATAGCTGTTAGTCTTGATACTTCCGATAGTATTGATTCAGTTGTTCTGCAATGTCGACCTTAAACTTGCCAATATCATTTGGTGCTCCACCAACTGAAATAGATTTTTGTTCATAATTTCTTTACCTCTCTCACTGCTTTGTGCATTCTGTCAAAATGTAGAATTCAGAATCAAGTTTGAATAATAGACTGTGTGTTTTGTGTATTTTTAGTGATTAAACGCTTTCAGATTCCCTCAATATGTTCAACCTGCTTATGTTACCAGGATCTGGTCAGTGCTGTGGAGAAATTCAACTCGTTCCTTGGTAGCAAGAAGAAAACAAAGGGTACCTACTACTTCCGCGCAGATGAGATCCCGACTCTAGGACTTGGTAGGTTCATATCTTTCCTCATTACATCTGCTTGTAGCACCATTAGGTTGATCATGTCAAGTCAGTATTTTCTTTGACCAGATTATAGATATGTAGACAATGATAATGGTTGTATGATTGCAGGCCATAAGGAGAAAGCATACATGGTGTTGCTGACGCGGATGAAGAGACTTGTGGTTGAGACAACAGACGCTGTTGTATCCTATAGAGTCGCATAGAGCCAACCCATATAGACTTGATTTTTTTTATGAGCTTGGGTTGGGAGTATATCCACATAAGACTGCGTTTCTAAGTTTTTTGTGTGTGTATAAATCCCATCTTTTGGAACAATTCCTCACCAGTAAAAAAAGGCATGTGATAATGGGACTTGTATTCTTGGAAATGTTTCAGACACATTTTCTATATCAATCGTTATGACTTGGTTGGTACAAATGCCTTGGATTTTGTAATCCCAAACGTGGGACCCACCACTACGGGTCAGCAAAATCCAGCCCTTAAGCCTCCTGTGACAGTATCACATATAGGCAGTCAAAAATCAAAGCAATAAACAATATGAAAATGCAAAAGCTATACAATAGGCAGTCAAAAATCTTCTTAAACCCCAAATCTCTAAAATTACAAATGTATCGGTCGATATTCTATAAACCTCTGAAACCCAACCGCGCTCCCGAATCCAATTCTTTCCTTTTTTTTTTTGCAAAATAAAAATTGCGTGTGCCAATTGTCTCACACATTTTGATATATTAACACAGAGTATTGAAGAAGCACGAGAGAGAAATTTAAGAAAAAAAGAAAAGAAAAGAACACACTATCAATGCGCAACCCAAAACCCTATCGGACCCAAATTCTCTACAACACATCCTACGGTCACCACACCTCACACTCAGCGCTTTCCCTTCTTTTATTCGATGCCTTTGGTCCAAACCTTGCTCCCACAATGTCTCTTCCTGACATTTGTGTTTCTTCTTTCTCTTTTCGTGGGGGCTAATTGTATATTTTCACCGGCTTCTCATAAGTGTGTCGGTTCTACAAGGACACCACGCAAAACAAAATCAACGAAAGAGGGACATTGGTTATACCTCCTTTAGGCAAAATAATCTAATAATCAAGAAAATGTTACCTGGTTTGCTGCATAAGCCCTCTTAGGAGTAGTATCAGTGTGCTCCAACCCGAGGTACTGCTCAAACGCACCATAGACATCTCTTCTCTGCTTTATTAATTTAATCGGAGAAATAAAATAAAATAAAAGAGTTAGTCTTCAGATATTAGCATGAGCTTTTCTAAACAAATTAGAGGCTAAGAAGTAGGTACCTGAAAGCGATTATAAACAACATCTGTGTCCTGCAAGTACTCCGGTCGCCCCATTGACATAAATGCAAATTTCCACTACATAATGAATGAAGCATTAAGAATTTTACCAGTTCCGCCAAAAACTACAGAGACATCTAATTGAAACCTTTGATTCCTTATTTAGTTTTCATCATTGCTCAAGTCGTTCATACCTTGGCAAAGTCCTCATCAGATACATGAAGCTTCTTTTGGATACGGTTCTTGATTTCTTCAAGAGTTTCACCTTCATGGATTACCAAGAAGAAGGGCTCCCCAAAGTTTTGCACTTGCTGAGGAACAAACAAATATGATGCTGATTAAGACACTGTCACGCGCACGACTTCAAAACGCTAGATCTCATATAACAGTTAAAATAACAAAAGCTTGGTAACTTGTTAGCACCTGATTTTGTCCAGTCTCCTTAGCAAAGTGGTACACAAGAATTAAGCGATCATTTGGACCAATATTCTTTTCTTCTTCTGGAATCTGAAATTTCAGAAAACATTAAGTTAGCATCTTTGTTTTAGAAGACACCAAAAAGCTGTGATGATAGAACTAAGGTACTAGAAGGCGCAGCCTAGTAATATACCTCCTCAGCTCGTAAAGTCCAGTACTGGTCATTTATATTCTCAATTCTTTCAGTTGATGGGAAAATCTGCAAGGCATACCATGGGTTAATGTACTTTAGATTTCAGAGGGTTGCAAGAATTTCATCAGGAGATACAGTAGTCGATATCGTAGGATCATGAAAAACATGACTACAATGTAAGGAAAAGAAGTCGCTTGTTACCTTGTAGATCTTGTGGTAAAACACCTCAAGTAACCTCAGTTCTGCATCAGGATGTGAAAGCTCCACCTGTACCAGGCATAAACCTTAGATTAACTTGCAAAACATCGAATGTATAGAAATCCATTACAATCCAAAATGCCCTAAAAACGAAATATCATTAGCAACAAGCATGAAGGTCAATAATAGATGTGGAATCCCTTCAATTTCAGTGGATTGTCATTTTAATGCAGTCCTTTCAGTGATATATAAACCAGCCAGATAGCAACAATCCACAGATCAATTAAAAGAAAGAAAACAACTACTTCCAAAACTAAACCAGCCATTTTACAAAGAAATTGCAACTAAACCGACCCACCTTTGTTTTGAGTTCATTAATAACATCTCCGACCGTGCTTTGTTTAGGTAGTCTGATATTGTGGATTACCACCTGTAAAGTGATAGTTAATAGGCTTGAAAGTTAATCCAATATAAAGAAGACTATTAGAAAAAAAAATCTACACGCACTTCTTCCTTCGTGGCATGATGGAAAGCAACTTTTAAGGTTTTAAGACCTTGCAATTCTGGAAGAGGAATGTCCAGAACTTCATAATACAAAATGTCAGACGTCTGAAAAAAAAAACCAATAAGCAAACAGGCATTATATAGTAAGAAGAATAAATCCACTGAACTTCACGTCAATACCTGATTGTAGTGAACTAACATATCTGACAAATGGTCTACTCCACGGTACTTGATAGGCTGAGGTTTGGGTTGCTGGGAATAGCAATTGTGAGATGTAAGCCTAAGTTTGGATGGGTCGTCAAGAACAAGCTTTTCAGCCACTCTCTCCACGACATCGTCATAAGTGTGCAGCTTTGACCTAATAAAAAAGAATTATGATTTCGTGACTGAGATTAGCTAAAATTTTTTTGTCAACAGAGGTACTTACAACTCCAGAACAAACTCATCTTCTTTGGGTTTTTCCAGAGCACGAAACCGAACCACCTACAAAATTACAAAAGCTGCAACAGTTAATCACCAACGAATCATACCAGCTAGAAACAATTCCACAGAACATTTGCAAATTTGCTATGCAGACACGTATGATTAGAATCAGGAATACTTCCATACCAGTGCAATAGAAAGAATTAGAGTGATATCAGCATAGAATTTGCTCTGACTCGATTAAAATATTAGGAATTTGTGGTACAAATATAATATGGCAACTGAAGTCTAGAGCTGCTGCATCAGACCCCTCCACTAGAACAGCTTAAATCATTAGACACTTCTTTTCACTTAAAATATATTTTCTCGTTTTTAGAGCGCTACTCTTAGTCTAACTCTACCAAGCTGCTAAACTTTATGAAAAAGTGCTAAGTAGAATTATACCTGACGATTCTGAACATATTCAAGAAACAAAGGCACAGCTGGGTAGCGGCATTCAATCTCCTTGTTAACATGAGGTTTCTGAAAGCAAATGATATCTCCATCTTCAATCTGAAAACAAAAAACCAATGTCAGCAAAGAAACACGGGACTGGAAGATTTCAGTTGATACGAGTGAAACATTACTTGACACAATCTGAATGAAATCTTCTTATCCAGGTGTTCGCACATAACACAGGGTTCAAACTTAATTTCCTGTAAAAAGGTCCAAAAACTGTTAAATAACATTATAAAAAACCATAAGCATGACCAAAAAAAGGATTAAAAGGCAACAGCAGCAGCAAACCTCAAAAAGTTCTATTTCTTCATCAGGAGCAAAGCCAGCCAATTCATTCAGTTTTCCAGTTATATCCATAGGCTTACTGGAACTTTTCACCATCAGTCTGCCAACATACCTGGTAGCACAATAAATGAAAAAATATTACAAAATAAAATGAGGTATAGTGGATTAAAAAAACGAAAACTTTTCTGATCAGAAAGAAAAGGGAAGAAAAAACTAATTCTTGTAGAGCGATTGTTACTAAAGCTGTGGTAGACCACTTTATATAGAAAGAGTGAATAAAGAAAAGGTGGAAAACAATATTACCTTAATTGTGCCTTCTCGGGGTCATAGAGCTTAAAGAAAAGAAGAATATCTTCTTTAGATTTTTCAGGAGGAGGGATAGGACGTAAATCCTGAATCATACAAAAAATTAGTAAGACAATTTCATCTCATCTTCCCTGTTAATCAATTAGCTTCAGTTTTTCTTTCAAAGGCCAAAACAATTAATCTTTGCAACCAGATTCTTACCAGCTGCTCTATCTCCAAAAACAGCTTTAGCTCAGCAGTGTTTGCCTTGTTAGATGCCTCTCTTATTTGTCCAACCTACAACCCATTTTCCCAAAAAAAAAAAATTGGTACATGATGAACATACATTTATTAGCAAGGGACTCTTGCTTAAACTTTTGTTATAATCAATAAAGTTTCCCACATACAAGGAGGCAAATTCATTTTTTTAAAGAAAACAGAGAAACCTGCTACAAAATAACACGCTCCAAACAACAGGATGAGAAACACTTGAACCCAAAAATCAGATAATTAGATGTACAGATTATAATCTTGGAAATAAAAAGGTAGCATTGATCAGATTCTATACTAGCTGGAGTATTACTACGCTATAAACTCATATATCCAGAAGAAAGAGGCAAACTACATGCATGAATAGCAATGCGAAGGATTAAACTACCTGCTGTAATTCCTCCTGAGGCGTAAGGGGGCGATTGGGACGATAGGTATGGTTTTGTCGCTTTGCCCAAATCCAGAACCTCTGTAACTGAACAGGTACACCAAATTCTTTGGCCACCTCCTCCTATATCAGCACAAAAATGGAGGTCAAAGGTTGATAAAGTTTAAATTACAAGTACACAAAGAAAATTTTAGTTAGAAGCAAAATATCTCATGAAAATCCAGATCACTTGTTCTTCGTCTTCAAGGTTTTCAAGTTACCAATTTTTTTCTCACAACCCATTTCTACAATAGTTTCAATTTCTTTCCTTTTTGGAAAACAAAAAAATAAAATATACACAGGAAAGTACCTTAAATTGTTGAAATGGTGTCTGTTTCTGGATCCGGAAACTACGAACTTTGTCATGATCAACAAGATCAAAATATATATCCTTCCCGATCTGTTCCTTA